CGCAGAGAAAACTGCTGCAGAGCCTCCTGTCTATAGCCATTGCTGCAGTCTTTGCAGCTACCATTAGCCTTCGACGTTAATAAAAGCAATAGTGCCCACTATCCTCCAACAGATAACTAGATTTCCCTTGGAAGGCGGTGGACACTTGAGCCTAACTAAATAAAGCTGTAGTTTAGAATTATTTCCTCAATATTTGGGAGATTTGGTTGGTATCCTCTTTGTCTTCCAACATCACTTTCAACTCACTCTTTCCCTTCCACTTTCTAGTAAAACACAACAAAACAAATAAACAAACAAATCCATGCTTATTTTATATCTAGCCAACTCTCATCATTCCCTTTTTAAGTTGTTGTCTTTATCAAGTTCCTAGATATTTTCCTCTCTGTCAATTAAAGGCTCTGCACATGGTTTATAGTCCTAATTCAGACATCTTATTGTCACCCCACACTACTTATCTTGGTAGCTTCCTTTGTTCATTTATCCCCACTAGTAAGATTAGTAAGTCAACTACCAGTCCACTGCTTTCTCTCTTTCTCCTTCAGTTTTTTTTTTTTTTTCTGCCTGAAGTTCACGGTCACCATTTTGTTCACTATTTTTTAATATTAATACCTTAAACTCCTTTGCTCTTTGTCCTTCTGTTGACTCCACCCGGCAAAACTTCAAGCCTGCTTGTGTCCAAGAATCTCAGGATAGATGCGAGAAAGTCACACAACCTTACAGACTAGTACCATCATAAATATTTGATACTTCCGTAGTCAGTATAATCTTCTAGTCTATGAAACAACCATTTTAAATCTTCTCCATTTAACCCAAACTCCCAAGAGGTAAGTATCCATTGCTCAGTGGATGACCATGACTATTATTTCACTGGGTAAAGATAAGTTATCACTTCCTATCTTTAGAAACTGCTACTGCCTTGTCTGTATATTCATCTATTCCCTCTATCAAATTTTTCTCATTGACATTTAAATAAAACAGAACAAAAAAATCTTTCAACCCAAGTCCCTTCCAATTATTGCTCTTTCTCTGCCCCCATGAACGAATTTCTTAAAAGAGTGAAATGACTCCTGCCTATCTCTCTAAACTCACCTCCATATAGCTCTTTCCATCACTCACTCTGTTTTAGCCACAATGGCCTTTTATTTCTTCGAACACATTAAGTTCTTTCCTTTCTTAGCACATCTACCACTCCTCTGCCAAGGATATTTCTTGACCCAGTGCCCTTTGCGTGATTACCTTCTCATTCTTCATGTCTCAGCTTAAATGCTTCTTCTTCAGAAAGAACTTGCCTAAACATAACCCAAAGTATACCCACTGCCTCTCCTCGTTAGATTCCCCCATGGAAAAGGTTCTTTTTCTTTAAACCACTTACTGCAATTCATAACTGCATATATATTTGTTTACTTTTTAAAAATTTTGTGTGCTTTCTCATTAGACTGCAAGCTACACATAGGCAGAGATAACAGCTGTTTTGTTTACTATAATAACATGGTGCTTAGCATAATGCTAAGGTCATAGAAAGTGCTCAAGTTCATAGAAGGTGTTTAAGTTCAGAGAAGGTGCTCAATAAATATTGTTGGATACAGGTTTATGTTTACTTACTTCAGTAAATGACTATCTTAGGCCTAATATCAGAAACCTGGAAAACATTCTTGATATTCCCTTTCCCCAACTCCAGTGAGATAAGAGAGATAGCTACTAATCAAGTCAGGTAAGGCCCAGGACCTTAGAAGATCTCTGTCTGGATGTGGATTTTTATTCTGAATGAGATGGGAAAATCACTGGGAGTAG